CATTTTGGGGCAGTGCGTTCACTTTTTTTTGTGGGAACATTGGCTTTTTTTTAATAAATAGTTACAAGGAACACAACGATATGCAATTTATAGGGATGTGGGGGGGGGGTGCACGGTAAGGGGGTCTGGCCCACAGACTAATGGACGAGGACGGTTATGAACGTGGTGGGTTCGATTCTCACCACGGTCAGTTAATATTTATTACTCGGAAGCCCCGAGAAATGAATATCAGAACCAGGGAATATTACATTCTCAGTATACATATATATAACGAAAAGAAGTCAACGTATGATAATGAGATCAAGGACCAGGGGCGCCCATCCCCCCAAAAGGTCAATGGAACAAGAATCGACCCCCCCCCCCCATCTCCCAACATATTTTATTACTCACCTTTTCTTAATAGCAGTGCAAAGGAAAGTAGATTTAGAAAAATCGTAGATCATATACAACAACACTGCAGTCTGTACCATGTTTTATCCTTGTCCGTTAGTATGAAATTTTTCGTTCCGAAAATTCATAACTCCGTTGAAATGTGACCCCTCGAAAAATCAAACACTCGTCATATGTTCCTCTCAAACATTTTGATGGCGCAACTTGCATCTTAAAACCCCCTTCTGGGCATCTCTAGTCAGGACCCTGAAACGTTAAAAAAAATAAAAAGTAAACAGCTCACTTTAATTTATTATAAATTCCTGATGAATTTCAACACGATTTGAATGTAATGAATAATCAGTTTTCCGATATGTGGAGAAGAGAGAGAAGTTAATCAAATTAGGGATGTCGGGTGTCCTCATTTACTTCGCTGCTCCATTGCCTTGTTTTACATTATTTTACCTAACGCTATTAAATCACAACCAAGAAGACTCCGCGCACCTTCCCTCAATAAAGTTGCGAACAACCTAAATGCTAGTCTCCATCTGCATAATCGCAAATGGAAGAGTTTCTCCTCCCCCCTCCCTTCGCAAGATGCAGAACTTGTATTTATTGCGGTATTTGAATATTCATGTAGCGTTAATTGGGAAGGGACCGGTTTCCTTCCCTGTTTCTCCCTAAAAACTCTACGAGAGAAAAACTAGTTGATGACCTACAAAATCTTAAGCCTCTCAAGTAGGTGTTGCGACTTTTCCAGCATTAATGTTTTATTCATGTTTTTAGGGTTTCCGTTATTAGGAATTTGCCTTTATATAATTTTGTACATTTTCATTTCTTAATGTACTTCTAATATTTTTAATGCGCTTCGAATACCTCATAATTATTAAGATGTTAAGGGATCTATAAAGTACTCTAAGGTTGCATATTCAGAACTGTTTAATTTATTATTTTCAAGCAGAGTGCACATCACATACCTGCAATAATCGGGAAGTATTTAAATCCTACCTATTTGCTCTGTTGTTATAATTACCGTTATAAAAGTAGTTTTTACACCGAAGTGGATAATATAAATATGTTTTATAGCTATTGATTTTGTTCACATATATATATATATACCCATTATATATATGAAAGGGTCATTAAAGAAAGCCCTGGTTGAACAAACTTGGCGATCCATCCGTTGCTTGCTAAATTCTTGTTTCAGAGCCTCGTAGGTTCCCGAGTGTTGCTGAGCACTTTGAGTTCACACGCCCACGACCTGGCACCGCCACATGTGTGCGCTCACTCATTTAAGTACAGGAACCAATATTTAGTTTATACTTCATTTGTATCCATACTTTTTTTTATATTTGTGTGTCATAAATACCTCTTTAGTATCGGAAGCTTAGTTTTAATGACACAAAATACTTACATAAGCTTTGAAGTGGCAAGAGTAAAACTCAGAAATATTGTTACTTGTGAACCATTATTTTGATTTATACTTGATTGATGTCGATACTACGTTAGTATGGCGTGTAAATGGCGGATCTTAAGTGGGATGGAATCCCAGAATGTTGTGGGGCAGGCGATAAAGGAGTGTCGAAATGAGGTAGTTCTGCGGTTAGGAGTGTAAAGGTCAGAGGGACAAGATCTGTGGAGAGGGAGTGGATAGATGACTTGAATAGAAGGATATTGTACGCGCAGGACGGGCAATTGTTATAATCATAACAATGATTATAATTATTGATTCTTTAGTAAAGGAAGGTGCCTAGGAATTATTGTCTTCTGAATGAGGAGAAGATCCATCCTAACTCAGCATAGTAGTGGAAAACACGAGACCGTCTCAGGGTACCATTGACAAATCCTACTAAGCCATTCATAATTCTTTTCAGTCTATCTCCGAGTTCCGCCGAGAGGCCACCGTGCACCAAGGAGCATAGTCAAAGTGGGGGAAGATGAGGGAAGATACCAGAAGTCTACGAGTGGGCATGGGTAAAAGATGGCAGAAGCGATGGAATAGTTTCTGGGTACCAACCACAGGCGGATCTACTGGGGGTGGGGGGGGGGCTTTCGGGTTGAAGCCCCTCCCTCCAAAATGGTAAAATATAACCATGTTTTATGAAAAAAAATTGTCTCTATAAGTATTATTGTTGGTCTAATTACATTTAATAGGACTTAAAGAATTATTTAAACACCGTTTCATATAGGTACTTAGTTTCTTTCTTGCTTCTGAAGTAATTATCGTAGTATATGCCTACAAAAAAAATATTTCGGGCTGAAGCCCCCCCCCCCAAATTAAATCCTGGATCATTAATGGTACCAATTGACCGTCGGGAAATGTTGGCTATGTGGTGATTCCAGGAAAGGGTTTGGTCAATAAAAATTACAAAGTATTCAACAGAGGAGCTGAAGATGATGGGATGGTCATTTAGGCACTGGATAGGAAAGTTGGAATTAGATCTGAGAAGGAGTTTGAAACCAATGACAATGGTATAATAATTATTCAAGATTTTAAATATTTAATAACACTTAAATGAGTAATAAATATATAGTAAATTCTTTGAAATATCGTTACAATTCGAAATTATCAGTTTGAGAAATCAATATCTCGTTGGTATCAAAAAATCCTTATGATAGACAGTTTATTTGTTTTACACTAATTAATAATATTTAAATGAGCGGTTACATTAACTTAGTACTCAAAAGTATCGTTGCTTTCGAACTAATATTTGTTAGGTATCTAAATATTACAACACAAAAAATATATATAAAATGAGATGTTATAGTGTATATTTTAATCAACTCTTTTACAATACTTCTTTTCTTGAAAGTATGTAAGATACAGTAAGCATATATTTAATTTTGATTCGACACTATACTGACCGATACTGATCTTTCGATACGATAGCAATAGTAGTCAGTATCCGAAGGAAAGTATCGATACCAAAAGTACTTGGTATCGCAACAAAAGTATCGATACCATACTTACATCGATCGTTATCTGACAACCCCCAACAATAAAGCCCTACAACCTTCTCTCGAATTATACAAGATCTGGAATACTCATCCGTCTACTAGTAGTCCTATATACTAAGTATGGAGGTTAATCCCTTCGTCTTTATTTCTGCCTCCCACAAATCGCTCCGTTTGTAGCAAGCGTTCTGCGATATCTTAAGGCTCGTCACTATTAGCTCGCCGTCCGAGAGTGATTTTCCAAATGAGCTCCCAGCTCATCCTCCCGACACTTGAGATCTTCCTTTCTTAGCATCTTCCTCATCCATTGGGTCGAGGCCTTCTGAATTCTAATTCTTAAACCAATCTCGACAAAAGTTTCATATAAACGGTGACAACTGTGTCCTTGTAGTAGCGGCAGTACACTTGATATAAGCTGATTGTAAATCTGGTGGCAGTTTGGTGACTATGGATCAGCTGATGTCATGACATTTTAACAAAGGCAACTTTTATATAATAAATTTTAAAAAAATAATCTAGAAGCTTAATTTCAATAGTAATTTGGTTTAATTCAACTCGATGGTAATTTGATGCAAACCAAATTAATAAAAATAAATCTAAATAGCCAATTTAAAAATTGATAATAATATCTGCAATGATAAATTATATATTAATTATTCCTCCTCCTCCAATTGAATGACATAAAAATGTTGAATTGATACAATTCTCAAGCTCAGAAATAATCGAAATAGTATACAAGAACAATGTTTTCCCGCACAACTCCATTATAGTTGATATCGTTACATAAGGTTGATCATTTCTCTAGCGGGTGTATACACGTGGTAGGTAGTTAACATGACAATAACTGCAGCTACCGCGACAGGATCATGCGATCATGCAAAACCTGATAGTGCGGCAGGACTACCAAAACAGGAAATGCCATGCTGTTGTATCTATAATCTATTGTTTAGGTTGTCCATCTTCTATACATATATTATAATATACATATAATTTGGCATACAAAGAAAATTAGGCACAAATTAGATGCTCAAAAAGGACGGTTATATAAGGTGACACCCTCGCCTATTGCTGGGAGTATGAGGCTTGTAGCTCGTCTGCTGAAAGTCATTGCTAATAATAATAATATTCAAAATAAGGAAGAAAAATAGTACGTTTGCATTCAAAGCTGAGACTTTTCGAAATAACATGGTGGAAGATATCTGAACTAGGCACTATTTTAATCATTCGAATTTCTATTTTTGATTTCTCTGATGCTTGAAACTGTCAACAGAGGGTGGTTTAATTAATCATCCATCGAACATTTTCATTACTTTGTCTTGTTGACAGATTCTTTTTATATGCTTTAATGCAATCTTCTTCCTAGTGAGAGATGCTGGTGATGCTCTGATGGTCTGAAGATGGTGGCAAAATCTCTAAGCCCAAGAGAGTTCAGACGTTAAATTCGGTCCAATCTTCGGCGGTTTTACTTACAATTGGATCATTATTCTTATTCTACATATTCTATGGAATGAGAGTACCCGTTTCTGTAACATGATAACAGTTTCCTATGGGTGGGAGGAGGGACATAGAACACTAAAGGAGTAGTCCAGCTATCAGTTCTTCACATTTTACAAATACTATACTGAATGAATCGTTTTACAACATACAAGTGGAAAGTACGACCTCTTTTATAAAATATGGGAAAGTTAGCAGAATTGCCTTCGTCCTCTCCTGTTGCAGAACCTTATGTATTGATATTTTTTATAATTCTAGTTACCTACAGATTTTTTTTTTTTTTTAGAGAAGTTCTACATAACGGCAGCTTGTATATCCACCCCTTTCCAAGTTCAGAGCTGAGAGAGGAAATCCATAAAACTAGTTACAGATGTATTGCTTCTAACCCAGTGGGACAAATACTATCTAGAGAATGCAAACTTAGACCAGGTAAAAGAAGTTACATATGTGTGTGTGTGTGTGTGTGTGTGTGTGTTTATTTAGAGGAAGAAACAAGAGAGAGAGAGAGAGAGGAGAGAGAGAGAGAGAGGAGAGAGAGAGAGAGAGGAGAGAGGAGAGAGAGAGGAGAGAGAGAGAGAGAGAGAGAGAGAGAGAGAGGAGAGAGAGAGAGAGAGAGAGAGAGAGATTCAAAATGTTTGTATATAAACTACATACATACAAAATCTAAATTTTAGTTTTCTATAATTAACATCTTTACCAAGTTTCATAAAAATTGTGCTAATCATTTTTTTTTTTTTTCCAGAAATTCTCTCTGATTATGAAATATATGTTGAAAATGGCTATGTGATTCAAGGTAACATTGGCGTATTAAAATGCAAAACTCGACATATGTTTGGAAAATTACAAATCATAAACTGGCTAAGACAAGAACCAAGTGGCATGAGGGCTCCAATTATTCCTGAATCCAAATTTATTCTTACAAAGAATGGACAGCTTCATATACGATCAGCATCTGTTTCCGATTCCTTGGCAACATATTACTGTGAAATAATAAACCCCTTTACAGGAAGAAAAGTTATTAGCAGACAAGGGAGGATATTTCTAAAAGGTAATCTTAAAGATTTTATTAAATATTTCCACTAATGTTTATCTTAAATTTCCATTGATGTACTCAATTGGTGAGACATTGAGAAGCTTATTATTAACAAACTTTGTTTCAAGTCTTAATGCTATTTATTTGAAATCTTCCTTAAACAATTTTTAAAAAACGCAACTATACCATATTAGTTTAAAAAAGATATTATAAGTATGCTATTTATTTATGGTTTGTATAAAGTTATTATTAGAAATGATAGTCTCCTTTCACTCTTCCCTTTTCCTCATCGTATCAAATTAAAGTTGTTAGAATTGATGTTTATTGATAACATTTTGATTTGTAACCATGCTTATTTTGAATGTTTTAAAATACCAATTTTACTGAATGCTTACTTATGTTTTAGTACTTTCTTATGTCCATTTGTGCAAATATTTACTTCCTCAAATTCTCGTTCATAATTAAAATTGATATATAATTATTTTATTTTTATTATATTTTTTAAATGCAACATAAAACTCATCCTCATTTTAATGTAAATTACTTTACCCATAAGTACACTGAATATAAACAGTTTTATGCATTCATCGATTGCATAGGCACAATGAAGTATTTTTATAAAGTTAAAGAACTTTTAACAATTATATTCCAAATATCTGAGAAATTTAAATTTTAACAGATTGTAACTCCTTCCTCCCCAATCAAACATTTGGTAAATAGTATGTTGTTCTTTAGTAATTTTATACAATTATTAATTTTCTTCGGGTTGATTTAATTAAGTTCATTTTTAATCTTCAAAATTTATAGATCATGTCACTGAAGCAATTCCACAAATTAAAGAAGACTCTGAAACTTTGACTGCTAAAGCGGGAAGTGCTATTGATTTGCTGTGTGTCGCACAAGGAGCACCTCCACCAACCTACAGGTGAAACCAGTAGTACATTAATTTATATCTATTGGTACATATACGTATTAGTATTCTAATAAAAAAATATTCTAATAAAAATTATATATATAATCAATAATTTGTTATTTTCACCTTTCATTTTCAACTTTTATTTATAATGTTTTGGTATTATTTTTCATTTCTGTTAACCACTTAAATATAAAAAATTCTTTTTTTGTCTTATATTTAAAAAATAAATCATTAATTAATAATGTTCAAATAATTAGCTCAATGTTATTTTGTTTTGTTTTTTAGTTGGAATCAAATTCATTTTCAAACCATTTCTTTTTGTTAGCAGTTGTTGATTATTACATAGATTCATAAATAATACCAATAGCATCTTTCCAGATTTCTTTCTGGTACAAACTAAATACACTGGGCAACAATGAAAATGTTTCGGGCTCAAAAATAATCAACATATATGTATTTCCATCTGCTGAGTTAAAAAATCACCATAAATATGACATAGTAGCTCTTGCTTTGGAGATAAAGTGACATTTCATTTTTTAGAGTCAACATTTTCAATTTGAGGATTTTTTTTTTTGTTTGGGAGTTGGTACACCTGTCAAATAACAAAACACAAATGCTCCTCAGCTGTTTGTAAGTTATAAACATAGTTACTGTTACTGTGAGTTTCATATATTTTCTGCTGTAATTAATACAGAATTTCTGTTTTGATAGTGCTTTTTTAGTGTAAAATACGTAAAAATGCCACGAAAACGTGTAAATATGGTGAATAATTTGTGGTGAAATCTTGTTGTTTGCTGTGACATTAATGGCTTGATGAAATCTTTGAATTTAAACCATGATCCAACTGAATAGAGGCTATTCGTAGACTCCTCCAAGCTTAGTTTGAAAGATGTGTTACTTCACAATGGCAACCTTCTTTCTTCTATTCATGTTGGTCATGCAGTTCACATGAAGGAGACATATGCAAATATGACAGCCCTCTTGGACGCACTCAAATATCATGAACACAAATGGAAAATCTGTGGTGATCTAAAAGTCATTGCAATACTGTTAGGAATGCGATTGGGGTACACAAAACATTGCTGCTTTTTATGTATGTGGGACAGTAGAGATAGGAAATTGCATTATATTAAAGGAGACTGGCCTGCAAGAAATCTTAATCCTAGCAACAAAAATGTCGTTGCCAAGCCTCTCGTGGACCCAAAAGATATTCTACTTCCACCCCTACATATCAAGCTGGGTTTGATGAAAAATTTTGTCAAAGGTATGAACCAAGATGAACGGCCTTTAAGTACATAATAGAGAAATTTCCGAAATTAAGTGACGCAAAAGTTAAAGAAGCCATTTTTGTCGGGCCACAAATTTAAGTACTTGTGAAGGATTCTGCATTTGATCAAGTTTTGGAAGGGAAAGAAAAGGAAGCTTGGGAAGTCTTCAAGGGAGTTGTTCGTGGATTTTTAGGCAACAAAAGAGATGACAACTACACGCATTCGGTGACAGTGCTCCTGCAAAAGTACCATAACCTTGGATGCAACATGTCCCTTAAAATCTATTTTCTCCACTTCCACCAGACTGTTTTCTCTCCTAGTTGTGGAGCTGTTAGTGATGAACATGGAGAAAGATTCCATCAGGACATTTCTGTTATGGAACAAAGATATCAGGGCCATTGGAATGAAGCAATACTTGCGGATTACTGTTGGTCTTTGTGTAGGGATGCTCCGGAACTCCCTTATAAGAGGCAAGCTAAAAGACGACGATCTCATGAAGCCACCACATAATCTCTTCAGACACGACTCTGCGAGTATCTTCCAGAATTTAGAACTCTTAGAATGTAACTACCATTTTGAAAAATCAAATGCACTTTCAATGTTGTTAGCATATGTAATTAAAATGTATCTTTTTCTCTTAATCCGTTAATATGAAATACTTCCACCTAGTGTATATCACAGAAACTAGATCTAAGAAAAATTTGTTATTGTCATATTTGTTTTTCTCAACCCAAAATTAGTAAGAATTGACTCATGAAGTGCTGGAAACATTCAAAAATTTGTTTTTTGTTGCCCAGTGATATCAGCCTAAAAAGAAATAAATGGTTTAGAGTAACTGTTAATTTTGTCTGGTGAATTACCAGACTTTAAAATATTTAATTTGTTATTTGTTAGTGTTTTTTTAACTGTCTGTATGAATTTATACTAAAGTTTTGTCAATCTTTTATTTTCATTTTCTAATCCTATTATTGGTCAATAAAATCAAAAAAATATTTTTTATACTTGACATATAGATAGATGAAAGAATATGGACTTATAATTAATTAGGAAATAAAATGTATTAAAGTGAAAATGAATAAAAATAGAATGTTCATACCACATGTAGAATGTGCAGTTGTCACATGTACCACAGGAAATAAGAAAAATACTTACTAGAAAAGACTGAGACAAACAGAATAGCATTTCTCATAATGATTACTGATCTCAGTCCATGGCAAGCTCTAGTTGTATTATTATCTATTACATTATCACAGTCCCACGGAATGCATTTTTCCCTCTAGTACACACTAACCAAACAACAAACTTAATTGGCCAATATTTGCTTACTGTGTGAGTATCTTAAGAAAATTGTACTAAATTATAGTTCATGATTATTTGAATAATCATTCAAACCTTGATTTGTTTTAACTATATTGCAATAACGTTAGTACTTAAAAAAGTTATTTTTTTATATCTTTTATTTTAGATGGTTCAAAGAACAAGAAGGGATTCTTGAAGAAATTTTGCAGGGATCTATTGTTATTAGACCAATGGAATCTGTTTTACGTTTTTCAAGTATTCAAAAACATGATTCTGGACATTATGTTTGTGTTGCCAATAATATGCATGGAGAAGATAGAAAACAGATTGAATTAATAGTGCAAAGTTCACTCACTGTGCAATTACGTCCTCATTATCAGGTTACTTTTGATATTCTCTGTGTATCTCCTATTTTAAACTTTAAGATGAATGTCAAAGTGAGTTTAACTTCCTAGTTTTGAGTAAGAACAAGTAACTTAAAATGGAAATTAATTTATGTCTAGCACAAGATAAATTAATAATCAAAAGCCTAGTCAGTCAAAGCTTAAGAAGATAATTACTATATTAATTAAATTATTCATTTAATATTACCTAACTTATTTCTTTAATGATGTTTTATTTTTTAATATATGTTTATAAAGTTATTCTTTAAATGAAACATATTTAAACAAATAACCTCATATTGTATATATGTCCAAATTTTAAAACTTTATTAAAAAGTAGATTACTTTAGATATAGGAAGTCAAGGGCAAATGTGATGGGTTAAAAAAAGATCAAAATAAACAATTTTTAAATTAAATATATAATTACCTATGCTGTAATTTAGTGTTAAAAAAAGTTCTAGGAATTTTATTATAAAAGTAATACAACACAGCTTTGATGTTAGATGATGCTCCCAGAATCATATATAAATTAAATATAATAGTTATAATTTTATTTACGATGTCCCCTAACTGAAATTTAAATGTAATCATAAATATTAATTCATATTATAGACATAAAAGTTTAGGGAATTAATGATTAACTAGTGTATACTAGCTAGAACTTTCACATTTGATAGGAATCCTTTCGTACATAAAATATAATATTATCCAGGTAGTCTATTTAACCCACCCAACTAGTGAAACTTCATAGTTTAACACAACTGTTGAAGTAGAAATTCTTGTAGGAAGCGATTAGTTTGTCCCACTGGAAAATATATCTGAAATTCAATAATTAATAAATATGACATAGCTATCCATGAACTTATTAATGCTTGGTTGGAATGATCTTATTAAAATTCCTAAAGGAAAGTACTGAAACAAAAATATTGAGAAAATATCCCCTTGGGAATTCTTTTTCAACATATCATCTGGTTTCAATATTATTTGGTGACCATGTGTAATCATGGGTTGTGAGAATTCAACACTCCCAGCATTTTGCACCCTTAGTAATTATTAATAAATATCCTTAGTAATAGGAATATCAAGATCAGGGGTGGCTACTTCAATGTAGGAGAAAAGATAGAAAGCCAGCTCTAGAGCTCTTAATCCTTTTGGAATTTAGTGTTTGATCTGTAGTTGGGGAGCTGGTAGAATGAGGGTTCCTTGATATGACCTACATTGACAGTCTGTCACTCACCATGGCATTGGGTAGAGAAGTAAGATTGAAGTATTAAGCAGAAAAATGAGTCAGTCTCGTTATGAAGTGGTACATGAAGAGCCAGTTGAGTATGATTGAAGCCAAGAGCTAGGCCCTATTCATGAGAGATCCTACCATTTTAGCTTTAGGTTTCTTATGATCAACCTATTTATAAATCAAGATATACAAGGCAAGAGGTTAGGCAAGGTGACATTTCATTGCCAGAATCAGAAGAAACTTCAAGCATCTGACATACTTGAGGGATAGGATTACCTTCTTAATAAATGATGTAAGCAATGTATTTCTTGGTGATTTCTGTGGCTTCAGATACCCCATTATTATAATGGTGTGGTATATTGTAAACTAAGGTCTGCATTCCCTTTCTAAGGCCGAAACTTCATGTAACAAAATAAAAGCAGTTTAGCCATAATTCAGATACTGGCTCTGGAGAGGATCACGAAGACATATATATCATTTCCAAGCCAATTGTAAGCTTTCCCACTTCAAATGTAACCCTTTAAGGTTATATTTGAACTGGAAAGAGTTACATTTGAAATGGGAAAAAAATACATTTGAAATGGAGAAGGTTACAATTGCCTTGGAAATGCTATAGAATACATGCGGCAATACAAGTAATGAGTAGTGAGATGATTTATATTATAAAAATATTAAATATAAAGTTTAGTTACTAGCAACAGTGAACTAATGTATACTTCCGCATATGAGCCCACTGCTATTGACATCCTATATGCCAGTAACACAGGTAGAAGAATAAAAAAATGAACAAAAATAATCAGAAATGTTGAGAACTATGATTATACTTAT